TTGATGTTTTACAAGTTTAGACATGTTTTCTCAAGTTTTGGAGTCTAAAGGATGTGTTTTGAAGCTTTACACTTGAGTTTTGCATCTTGAACATCAATCTGGAAATTCCAGAATTCTGCATCATCGCTCAAGCGACAGAACCTGCGCTCAAACGACCACTCTTTGTTTTGCACTTTCGCTCGAGCGACTAAAAGTTGGCTCGAGCGTAAAATTCGAGCTCCTAGCACTTTTGCAGACATGGGTCGTGGCTCGAGCAACATAACTTGCACTTGAGCGACCACTCTTATTTTTTATCCTCCGCTCGAGTATGGGAAATTGCGCTCAAGCGTAAAATGAGAGCTCTCAGAAGTTTTACAAAGTTTTGCAGACCGCTCAAGCCACCAAAGTTGGGCTCGAATGAAGACCCTGTTTTTAAGAAAATTTGACTAAGTGTTACAACTCATATTTTGGCATTCGCATTGTATCTTAGGCATTCGTAAGCCTTAATTAAGACATAATAATGAGAATAAGGATTAGAAACACACCGAGACAGAAAAGAAACAAGGTAAGTTTTTTTCCAAATGTATGTTTCAATGTGTATCCGTTGTGTGTTATGTAAGTCACGTGCCGTAGATTATCTAATCTGTCTGCTTTATCTATTCTGCTATTGGAGCTATCTGTGAGTAATAACTTATAAAGCTATGTTCAATGTTAAATATTTTCTAAACATTATGATATGATATGATCTATTTCCTAAAATGTTATTTTGAGATTAAATGAATGATGGTCCAATTCTTTGAAATGTATTTATGGCATCCTTAGCATCATATGATATGCGTCCCTTTATGGGTCATTGGAATACCTTTATGGTTGTCCTTTTATGGGTCATTAGAAACGTCTCTGTGCATATGAGTCATCAGAATGCCTTTATGGCCATCCCTTTATGGGTCATCAAATTTGTTAGCGCTAACGGATGTACCACGTATGATCATATGGGATATGTGAACTCTGAAAACAAATACAAATATGAATATGAATTTGTATTTGATTTGAATTCTGATTTCTGAATTTGTTATGGACATCATTCATTAAAACCTTTACTCTGTTATTATTCATTGGGCTCTAGCTCACTGCATTATTTATGTATGTAGGGGATTAGGTGCATGACTAGGCTCAGAGTTGATTGCTTGGAGTTCTGTTTGTCGGCCAACTACTGTGCCTCCCGAGGAGGTTCCCTTTTGCGAAGTGGTCAAGTTTTTGTGAACAATGCTAAAAACCTTTTTTGTATTTCTTTTGTTATGATTGAACATATCTTTTGTTGGTCTGTTTGTATATATGGTGACGTGGGAATGACTTTTTTTTAAATATGTAAATTAAGTCTTCAATTTTCTGTCCTATGCATGTCTACACAGTTCTATGGACGTTATATGTTTGTATTTGCTTTCGCTAGCCCCTGTATTTTGTTTAATTTGTTTAGAGGCCTTTGGTAATCTCAGAATTACTGGCCGGTTACAACACTAAACTTATTGGGGCGAGTTTAGGTTGTGACAATATATATATATATATATATATTAATAGACACTCAGGGTTTTGTTTTGTTTTGTTTTGTTTTGTTTTTTTTTTGTGTAAAAGCTCTAATACCACTTTTGTCTCGACCCAAACCTGGTATCCAAAGACTCGGTGTCGCAACAAGACAAAAATACAATAATTCAAAAAAATTTGTAGTCGTAGCGCAAGCAGATAAATTAAATAAATTAAAATAAAATAATTCGGTACCAAATGTTTATTAAAAGAAACAAAAACAGTCTTTTGGGCTTTTATTTTATTACAAGAGTCCAATCAAAATGTAGACAGTACAAAAAAAAAAAAGGACAAAAAAAGAGAAAACACTGTGGTTTATCCTCCATCTTGATCCTGCTAAGTCTCGTCACCTGAAAGGGGTAACAGCTATAAGCACATGGCAGAGTGAGAAATATTATACTGTGAGTATAGAGGCACAAAATAGCCATGGATAGTTATTTAAGCTAAAACATTAATATAATTTAAGTTGTATAAATAAATTTTAACCATGTCTAAGTTACATCTCATTTGAGATTTAAAAGAAAAATCCAAATGAATGTTCAATTATATATAACTTAAAAAATTTAAATGACAATAAAAAATAAAATTTTAGGCTATAAATTATAATTATCAAACGATCTAATTCTATTGAGAAAAAGATTAAATAATAAAATGATACAATTTAAATTTATAATTATAAAATATTTTTTAAACTAAGCCATCACTTTTTGTTCATGTTCTAAGATTTAAAAAAAAAAAGAAAAAGAAAAAAAAAGAAGACTAGCTTGATCTGATCTTAAATAATTTTTCAAATGTAAATATACTTTGATATTGGTGCAATAGATATATTAGACATATTTTAAAAATAAATATATATTTTCTTCATTGAAGTTCAAAATATATATATATATATATATATATAAAAATATGTTGTCATATTTCTTATTTATGTTATAAAAAATATTTTTGAATGTATTTATCAATTAAAAATTAAACAAATAAATGTACCAAGTAACTTTTGGATTAGATATGAACCAAGACAATTCTCTAAGAATTGTTGACATAAAAATCGACTTGAACTAATTTCTAAGCTCCTTTAGTATTCCAATATTAAAACTTTCAAACTAACTCCAGTTAATCAAAATTATAAAATAATTATATAATCTAAATATAAAGTTTAATTTTAATTTAAAAATTTTGATTATTTATTTTAACCAAGTATAGTATGGGTATTATGTTAATATTATAAAATATAATATAAAATAAATTCCAACACTAAGCCGTTGGATTGTTTTTACAATTCTATCTTCCATCCGGAAAAGTGAATCCCATTGTAATATAGGAGTAGCATTCCATCCAAAGTAAGAGCATCTCCAACGGTTACTCAAAATTTTCATCAAATTTGACTAAAAAAAAATCAATTTTCTCAATTTGATACCGCTTGTTAGAACCGTGCATCAAAAGGAGTGGTCGACCGGTGGGTCAACCGGCCGGTCGACCGGTTAGAACAATTTTTTTTTTTTTTTAACCTGTTTGAACCTACCAATTTGAAAGGGAACCGGTCGACCGGTTAGTTTCCTCCAACGGTCTAGAACAGTGAAATGCTGAAATACAGAGTTTGTCCTCAATTTGGTGAAATGTTTGAGTAATTCTCATTTTGATATCAGTTTGATGAAACCGTTGGAGCCAAAAAAGTTGCTTTTTTTCACCAAATTCAATTCTGATGCTAGGTTTGGTTCACCGTTGGAGATGGTCTAACAATTCAGGAACTAATAAATTAATCAAACAAGTTATATGTAAATTCCACCTCATTCATACGCCAATCTTGCCTCGGAGCTAGTTAAACAAACGAGCCCCACTACTAAAGAAAGGGCCTTTTGAGTCGGTTTTTTGAGTCGGCAAATTTTACCGTCGCAATACGCCAATCTTGCCTCGGAGCTAGTTAAACAAACGAGCCCCACTACTAAAGAAAGGGTCTTTTGAGTCGATTTTTTGAGTCGGCAAATTTTACCGTCGCAAAAGGTAGCCTTTTTGAGTCGGCACAGAGTTACCGGCTCAAATACCAAACCTTTAGCGTTGGCACCGTTGGCTGACACAAAAAATTAATATTTGATAGCATTATTTGAGTCGGTCGAATTTACCGACGCAAAAGATAGACCTTTTGAGTCGGCATAGACCTTTTGCGTCAGTAAATTTGTACCGACGCAAAAAATTAGACCTTTTTGTGTCGACAACTGATGCCGTAGCAAAAAAAAAAAATTTATAGCCAAGATATATATATATTTACTTGATTATATTTAATAAATATATTTATTTATACATATACTTTTATATTAATATTGAGTGTATATACTATAAATAATATATATCTCGTTTAATATCTGGAAGAGGTATGGTGGTGAAGTGGATTTAGTGCGGTGACCTCGGGTTAAATTGTCCAAATGGTGTGTGTTTGAAACTTGGGAGCCTCAATGAGAAAATTATGAGTTAAATTGTGTAAAACATTTAACCACTTTTTGAGTCGGCAATTTACCGTCTCAAAAAATTAAAACTTTTTGCGTCGGCAGATTGCCGACTCAAAAACTTTTTGCGACCCCACCATTTTCGTCCCTTGAATTGCCGTCGAAACGCCGTCATAGACCTTTTGCGTCGGTAAATTTGTGCCGACGCAAAAAATTAGACCTTTTTGTGTCGGCAACTGATGCCGTAGCAAAAAAAAAAATTTATAACCAAGATATATATTTATTTACTTGATTATATTTAATAAATATATTTATTTATACATATACTTTTATATTAATATTGAGTGTATATACTATAAATAATATATATCTCGTTTAATATCTGAAAGAGGTGTGGTGGTGAAGTGGGTGTAGTGCGTTGACCTTGGGTCAACTTGTCCAAATGGGTGTGTGTTCGAACCTTGGGAGCCTCAGTGAGAAAATTATGAGTTAAATTTTTTAAAACATTTAACCACTTTTTGAGTCGGCAATCTACCGTCTCAAAAAATTAAAACTTTTTGCGTCGGCAGATTGCCGACTCAAAAATTTTTTGCGACCCCACCATTTTCGTCCCTTGAGTTGCCGTCGAAACGCCGTCGCAAAAAATTTTTGCGTCGGCAAATATTCTATTTGCGACGGCACGCTGCCGACGCAAAAGCCCTATTTTCTAATAGTTTTAGGGATTGTGTTGCATACAGCGAGAGTAACAAAAGCCCAACAATTGCTCTTGAATGGTTGTTAAAGATTTTATTATTGTATGTCACATTTATAAATAATAAAAAAAATTATAAAATTGATCAGCGGTTATTAGCATTTTTCAAATTTGATAGCAAAACTCAATTAAAAATATACATTGGACGGTTGAGATTCTGAATATAGCCATTTCCCTACCTGGGCTCAAATTAGATTGATATAAACAATTCATTACATAAATGTTACAAGATAGCTGATAACTTCAATGTCAAAGAACAGGTCACAATCATATTTCTATTAAAAAAAACAACTAAAAACTAATATCTAAATAAAGAAAATTGGAGTTCAGACCTCACAAGTTTCCTATGAATGATTTTATAAGTTACTGATGGAAGCCATTGCAATTCTCACCATTTGAATCAGCCATTGATGCAAATCTCTCTCTCTCTCTCTCTCTCTCTCTATCTATACACAGTAGTCAAACAGTAAAATATTGCTAGAAGGTATTGGAAATTAGATTAGAAAAATAATACCCATTTGGAGATAGTTATATAGCAAGAACAAGAATCAAGAAGAGATAGAGAGAGGGTTGAGATGAAGAGGAGGCGAGAGATGGAGAAGGGGTCAGAGCTAAGGTCTGCCATTGAAGAGCTATCCATGGTAGTTGTCAAAGTCAAACCTGGTGGTGATGATCATAATGATGCTGTCGCCCATATCCCCACCCAACCTTTTCTCTTTGTCTGCAACTTGGTCATTCAAGTTCTTGGTTACTCTCTCTCTCTCTCTCTCTCTCTCACACACACACACACACACACAAATTTAGGATTTGGGTCTTTTATTAATTGCTCTGATTTCAATATATTATCACATAATTCATGAAGTGTCTTCACCAAGTTGCCTCTTTTATCAACTAACCATATTCACTGTACTTCTATGTTCGGCATAAGATTCCCTCGATCACCGTGGTCTTATTTCTATATACTCGTGTTCTCAAATTTTCATATCTTAAAATAAACTTATATTTTATATAATTTCACACGCTTTTTCTTTTTTCAATTTCTTAGTTAATCGTAAGATTAGATCATATCATAAATTTCTCGTGTTCTAAAATTTTCGTATGACTTTATGATTGGAAGATTTTCGCGGCTTTGTTCTTTACATTTCTGAACAAATCTTTCCAAAAAACATTGAATAGAGACAACATATGTATGTAAAATTTGTGTGGTCAATTTTGTGTTTGTTTTTTTTTTCCGCAGATAAGATAGGACCAACGATGTCTGCTCTGAGACAAGACATGGATCAGAATATCCAGGTATATGGAAAGTGTGAACCAAAGCTCCATTGGCTAAGATTTTTTTTTTTTTTTTTAAAGATTTCGTTGGGGGAAAATAATTTGAGTTTTTGATTTTTTAATTATTTTAGTTTGGAGTTAAAAAGTTTCGTTTGGAAGAGATTTTTTTAATTTTTTATAAGAGAAAGAATTTAATAATTATGAATTAGATATAACATTTTATCTTATTAAACTAAAAAATTTATTTTATTTTTTTTTTGATAAAAATAACTTCAAACCCAACCCACCCCAACCCAAGTTGCCAAACGAAGCTTATGTGTGTAAGTTTAATGTGTGCAAGACACACGCATGAGAGCCGCCCCCCAAGTCACCCTCGAAAACCCCCTTTCCTCTTCCTCCACCTTTTGACTTTTGTGCATGACTGCAATAGCCCTATAATTCGTCACATTCTTGCTTTCCCTCTTAGTCATTTCTCATTCTAGTATGGGTATTTATGTCCATATGATCATGGATCATTATTCTGTCATTTTCATGTTGATTAAAACTTTGATATTGGTGGTGTGCCTTACCCTTATCTGTCTTTTTTGAACCTTACCCTTATCTGTCTGTTAGTCCCATTTTCTATTCAGGGTATTTCTGGAATTTCAGTATATTTTTTACTTTGAGGGAATTCATGTCCAAGCATTTGTTTTATTTTTGTATTGTGTTGTCCCTAGAGATTGGAGAAGATGCATGAATCTGACCCTTCAGTGCACTCAAGTATGGTTGAGATATTGAAGAAAGAGGCAAGTGAAGGCAATGCAAGAAAGAGCACCAGCTGTAGCAGAGCTTTTGTATGGCTTACCCGGTAATATTTATGTTTTTATTTTTTTTAGAAGATGCAAAATTTGTTTGGCTAATTGTTTTTTTAAATTTTTTAAAAATATTATTAATAATAATTAATATTATTTTTACTTTTATAAAAAATAAAAAGGAAATTATTATTGCCCTGCAGACCTAGCCGAAAATACTATGGAAGGTTTTCTTGACCTAACTAAACTCTAGAGTCAACTCGTAAATGATTGTGCAGTTTGTTAATTGATTTATCACTGTGTTTTACTATTATTATATAAATTCTTGATATAAATTTGTGTGCATGGCACAGCACACATTAATTTAATGGTAGTTAAAAATCCCAACAACTGGTCCAAACTATGTTGAATTTGATTCCTACATTAGTAGACCCAATCCAAATTTCAAACATTGCACAGTAGAGTATACTAAGCCATGTTGATGGTCTTTTCTTCTTCTTTTTCTCTTGTTTTTCCTTTTTTTTTTTTAAAATACATATTTGATGAAAGCTCAATCTCGTTAAATCTTGCTTTAAATATACGATATGCCCAAGTTAGCGAAGGGTTCAGTTTTACCTTGCAGAGCACTGGATTTCACGGTGGCTTTGTTGAGATTGTTAGTGAAGGATTTTGGGCAGAGCATGGAGCAAGCGGTGGAAGAGGCATACACAATCACTCTAAGACCGTGGCATGGATGGATTTCTGCAACTGCATACAGAGTAACAAAGACAATCATTCATGCTTCCCTTGTATTGTATTGTAATCTGCTTAATTCTTTCGCTTTATCACCAATATTACCAAATGTTTAGGACTATATTGATCATGTTTTGGCCTTATAACAAGTTTTGAACGTATGCAAACGCATCATACAATGGTAATCTAGCTCTTTTGCTTCTTCATCTTGAATTGACAGTGACATTGTCTGCAGGTTGCACTCAAATTAGTGCCTGATAATAAAACTTTCATTGGCGTGCTCGTGGCTAAAGACAAAGACCTCAACATGCTGAAAGAGGAAATGCAGGCTTTAATTTCATTACTCGTGCCTCTTTTAGAACAGTGTCACTCTGTTTTGGTAACCTATACTCATGTTTTTCTGTGTAATCATATTATAGCTTCTTGTTTTTTCTATTGGACAAATGATGAATATATACTTACCCTAATTCTGTTAATGTTGCAGATATCCTACGGCTTGGATAGGATAAAATCTACCTGAGGAGAGAATGTGTATGAAATCAGAAGAAATGTACAGAGTTCAATTTTGTATAGTTTTTTTTTTTGTTTTTCAACAACCCCATGTTCCTATAATGTAAGAAAAAGTCTAGAGACATGTAAATGGATCACAGAACCAGAGACAATTCTTACGTTATCTACGGTTCTTTGATCCGTTTTTGTGCAAGTAAAAGAAGTGCTAATGTAAAAACATGTACAACTCTGCTTGGTATGGTTTATAAAGTAGAAATATGTTGTAACACAAAGTAATTTTGCCATTAACAGTCTAATATGATGACTGTAAGAAACTAAGCAAAACAGTATACTTATCATCATCTGTGTTTTATTGAGAAACCATGATGATTTTCAGTAACGGCAAGATGTTCTGCAATGTCCATGTTTTTTTTTTTTTTTGAAGTAGAAAATGCTCTTTATTTCTATGCTAAACCATCATTCTTTGATGTGCTTGGCTATGTGAGCCATTGTTTGAAATTTAATTTGAAAACTTGAACTAGCTTCAAAAATATACTTAAAACTTTTAATGATTCAAACGATTTCTAAAAGTTGATAATTCAATTAATTTAATTTTTTATATTATTTTATAGTTGATGATACAGTTTGTTCCAGTGAATGGATCGGACTGGTCCAAGCTCCTCAAGCCCACGTCCAAATGATCAAGCCCACCAGATAACCTGCAAACAAGTTCAACGGGGAACTTGGTAGTCCCCCATTGAACCCTCCGATGAGCAAGTTAGGAAGAGAAGTAGAGTGCAGAGGGAGAGATTAGAGATAGAAAAGCTTAACCTTCTTCTTGTCTTCAACGTTTGCTTATATCCTTTGGTAATCATTTCACTGTCCCTTCCGACCTGCCTTCCTCGCCGAAAGTCTATGCTGTAGCTTACCTTGTTCAGGGTAAAGGGGTCCTGTTCCGACAGAAAGGTGTTACCCTAATAAATGCTGTGATGGGCTGCATTAATGCTGATGTGCAGTGGCAATAACTTTGCAGATCTTTGTCTGCTGATGTGGCTTGTCATTCACCTGTCATGTGTCTGAATGTCATTGGCTCTTTATGCCATGTTGGATTCCAGCTGTCCTGGACCTTACCAGCTGGGTTATGTATTGGGCTCCAAGTGGTGGGCTTGGGTTGTTCATAGTGATTCATGGCCTTTATGGGCTTATACACGTCAGTAGTCCCCCATTCCCGAGTGCAGCTTTAGTCCAACGAAGGGAATACTAATGAAGAAGATGAGGGTGTTAGGGATTGGCAGGACGGAGGTCGACCGGCAGGGGTGACCGAGAGGGTGAACCGACCGGGAGGTGGTCCGATCGTGCATGGTGACCGAGTGGAAGGGCCGACCACGAGGAGGGCCAACCGCAAAGGCTGGCCGAGTGGGAGGGTCGACCACGAGGAGGGCTGACCGCGAAGGGTGACCGAGTGGGAGGGTCGATCGTGAAGGGTGAGGTGGAGAGGCGTGGGGCTCGAGGGGCGGCGTGTCACGTGGTGATTTGAAGTGGAAAAGACAGGGTAAGGGGGGGAGACAGTGGATCATGGTCGTACACATGGCAACATCCCGCGGGGGGAGGGGGGAGATTAGGCGTTAGATCAGAAATGAAACGATAGGTCATTATGGGTGTTGAAAAGACAGTTTTGGCGAATGATTTGAAAAGTTTTCAAACTGGCGAAAATTAATTGGGATCCTTGGAATACGGGCAAACCGTGGGCTTTTGGCATTATTCGATTCACCTACTTGTTTACGAAAAATCAAAATATTCCAAGTGTGAATTCCTTTATTGCTCACGATACACTTCTGCAACACTTTTTCAATTTCCTTACACCTGCATCCGAAGCGATTCGCAGACATACCATAGAAATGGCCCAAGAAGAAGCTGTGAATGTCAAGGTGGATCCACTTGGTGATGATGATGTAGTGGAGTTAGCACAGCAATATAGAATGGAGAGGGTGGGGGAGTCGGTGGTACGATCCCATGGTTCCACCATGATAGCAACTCCAAAGCCAATCAGCCAGGCAGAACCAGATCACTGGCATACAAAGGCAGATAGATCAACGGTTACTGCAACGGATTTGGAGGTTATTCGCGAAAAATACCAGGTGCCTGCTGAAATAGAGTTATTGTTGCCGATGTCGACGGAGAGGCCATCCGACGCCAGGTCAGGGGAGTTTGCCCTTTATGAAGAAGCATTGAAGGGAGGACTGAGGTTGCCTCTGCCGCAAGTGGTGGTAGATGTCCTGAATCGTTTGGAGGTAGCACCGGGCCAACTAATGCCCAATGCGTGGAAGATCTTACTGGCTTCTGCAAGTGCGTGGCCGAAGGCGAACAAAGGGGCGGCCATGACAGTAGACGAATTCTTCGCATGTTACAAGGCCTCAGGGCAGTAAGAGACTTGGGTCACTCTGCAGGCAGCAGCAGGGAAAGGGCTGGTGGCGGGGCTGCCGTCGTCGATCAAGGGGTGGAGACCATGGTGGTTCTATGTGTCTGCCAATGGAGGGATTGGAGTGCGCACCATTTGGAAAGTGCCCACCAAGTCTGTGGAGCCAAAGCTGGGAGCAGCAGCAGAGGAGAGGGTGAAGAGGGTAAAGGAATGGAGGGAGAAGGAAAGGGCCAGATGGGACGAGCTCGTTCAACCGTCAGCTTTGTTTGAGGCAGGGTTGGGTCCACAGCCGAGTGGTGGGGACCTCGACCGAACGGAGTTGGAAGCAAGGAGGAAGGCTCAAGAGGCGGAGGACCAGACCATCATGGCCAAAGCCCAAAAATTCAAAGAGTCGTAGGCAGACCGACCGCCAAAGCCGGTTGCGAGGGAGAGGATCCGACCTCGCCCCAAACCCTTGGGGGAAAAAGACTTAAGTGAATTTGTGCCACGGCCGCCCCAACAGATCCCTTGAAGGAGAGGGCTTTGAAGGAGATGGAGGTGGAGGGTGTAGTGAAGAAGAAGAGGAAAGTGAGGAGAAGTGAAGAAGAGCCTGCCTTGAAGAGAAGGAGGGAAGTGAGGGCAGAAAAGACCAGTGTGGCCAAGGAGGTAGAGATGGGGGGAGTGGAGGAGACCCCAGGAAGGGTGGTCGTCCCAGAAATGGTGGACATCGCGTCGGAGCGGATGGAGGTCGTCCCAGTAGTGGTGGGGATCGCCACAGAGGTAGCGAGGGCCGCCCCCGAAGTGCAAATAGAAGGTGGGGCAACTGGCCCTGAGCCAAGGAGGGGAGAACAGCCCCAGGGGGGTCATGCACCCCAAGGAGGGGGAGTCAGTCTGACTACTGCAATCTACCACGCTTGTGCAGTGACTGGGCGGCTGGAGGGAGAAGAAGGCCCGGCCAGGGCAGGGGCAGACCGCCTTGTGGGGATTGTGGAAGAGGCAGCCTTGCGCTCAGTAGCTAGATTCAATGAGGCTGAGCTACTGAGGGAGCTATGCTCCGCTCAAATGGAGGTAACCACCTTAGCAGGGGCTCTGCTAAGAAAGGCGGGGGTTGCAAAACTCAAGGCAGATGAGGCCAAGGCTCAACTTGCAAGGTTGAAGAAGGAGAGTGCAAACTGGGAGAGTGCCCATGCTGAGCTGCGAGCGGTCAAGTTGGAACTAGAGAACGAACGCCGCCAGGTTGTGTCGTTCGAGTTCCAGCTGGCTGGCGAGCAGAGGAAGCTGGAGGAGGCCCAAAAAGCCCGCGCGGTCGCAGTCGCGGTCGAACGGCATGAAGAGGCGATGACCAGTAATGAAGAGCTAGTTAAACAGAAGGATAAGGCAGACGTGAAGATTGACGGTCTGCAGAGGGAGCTGGAGGGAGAGCGCGCAAAGGCACTGGAGGAGAGGGACGGCCTGCAAAAGGTGTTGAAGAAGGAGAGGGCCAAGGCATCTGTTGAGAGGGCGAACGTGTAGAGGGAGTTGGCTGAAGAGAGGGCCAAGGTAGCCTCTGAAAGGGCAACCCTGCAGAAGCAGTTGGAGGAAGAGAGGGCTAAGGCGACCTCTGAAAGGGCGACCCTGCAGAAGGATCTGGACGACGAGAGGGCCAAGGCAGCCTCTGAAAGGGCGGCATACCCCGATCTGTGCGTTGCAGCAGTGGATCAGTTCAAGGGGTCTGTTGAATTTCAGATGGCAGTTGATGCCGCGGTCGCCGGCAGCTTAGCGAGGGAGGAGTCTGGGGGGGCAGGCCCATCGAGGACGACCGCTGGGGGCAGGACTGAGTCAGAAGTGATTGAGAGCTTCTAACGGTCAGACTTTTATAAACACGAAATGGCTAAGTTCTGGGACAGTGGTTGGAAAATGTTCAAGCGTAAAGCCGAGGAGCTATTCCCAGACTTGGACCTGAGTAGTGTGAAAATCGACGACGACGATGTGGCCCAAACCCCCCTGGATGAGGGTATTGAAGAAGAAGACCTTGTGTCCAGCGAAGAGGAGTAATTGAAAAAGAAGAAGAAGACCTTGCACAGACATTGTGTGGTTGTTTTTGTTTTGTTTGGTTTGTTTGTTTGTTTGTTTTTTTTTTTTTTTTGAATTGCTATAATGAACTGATGTACAAAGTTATGAATAAATAAAATTTCAGTTGTGTTTTGCATTTGATTGTTTTTGCTTGTGCATTTGAAATGGATGAGAATGGTGGCTTGTGTGTGGAGCTTATGTATGAATCATTGTGAAGTGTAGAGTGGAGTTAGATTTGTAATAAAAACTGAATTTAGGAATTCCTCAAGACAGAGTGGGATTGAAGTTGTAATAAAAACTCAATGGAGAGTAAAGTTAGGAACTCCTTAATGCAGAGTCAAATTGAACTTGTAATAAAAACTCAATGTAGAGAAAAGTTAGGAACTCCTCAATGCAGAGTGAAATTGAAGTTGTAATAAAAACACAGTGCAGAGTAAAGTTAGGAACTCCTCAATGCAGAGTGAAATTTAAAATGTAATAAAATTATAAGTTGGTGTTTGCCACGCTGCTTAAGTAGGTTAGTGGTTTATGGAGTGAGGCTTGGTTTGTAAGAACAGAGGCTGACTTGTAAGAGTTTGATTGAGAAGAAAATAACCTGACTTGTAAAGAAAACGTGTAAGAACGTCTTTGGAATTTGACTGAGCAAAGAGTGGTGTAAAGACTTGGAGTTGGAATTGTGACTAAGTGTGTCTACTAATTCCACAAGCATGAAGTTTGCATGGGTGGCCGTGACCGAGCCCTGCATGCGTGCTTAGTTGAGGCTAAGCTATGATTCACTGACGTTATAAGTAACTCAGTCTGAACTTGAAATTGTGGCGTTCAGTCTTGGCGGAGACTTGTTATGCTTAGGCTGGCTGAGGTTTGGTCTGGCCGAGTGCTTCATGCTCAGTCGGGCTGAGACTTTTTGGCGCTCATCTGGACGAGGCTGTTGGTGCTCAATCTGGCTGAGG